GTGAACTGTGAACTGAGAACGGTGAACTGAGAACGGTGACCTCAAACTCTCCGGGTGGGTGGAGATCGGAGGAAGTGGTGGGCAAAGTCCGGATAACCGGTTACTTCTCAATGAAACACTATCCGAATTCAGACTCTTGAACTCGCTTTCCTAACCCGTTTGCCGAAGTGAGTTCACCCATTTATTATTTATTTGTTGAAGTGGTTCTAATCCATTTGTCGAAGTGGTTCCAACCCATTTGCCGAAGCGGATCATAACGCGTTTAATAGGTGAACTAACACATTATCCGAATTTCGCTAAAGCGACTCATTGCCCAGCCCAAACGGCAGAGGACCAGACGACGAAGCCAGTCGTTCCCTCCCAGTCCTCACAACTTTCTGCTCTATAAATGTCTCAGTCTCAGCTCCGGTGCGGTGCGGTACGGTGCGCTTGTTGTGGTGCGGTGCGCTTGTGGTGCAGGGTAGGGGTAGATCTCGCCGGGAACAAGAACTAGGCCAAGAATAGATTAATACAGTGTATCTGGCTTCAACTTCAGCAGTCTCTGGAATCTAGATCTAGACTGCCTACTCCATTCATAACTTTATATTATGGAAAGTCCCAGATTCGACGATTGATGATTGTGACTGATACAGAGACTGTAACAGAGATTGTAATTGGGACTGATACTGTGATACTGTGATTGAAACTGAGATTGTGATCAGATAAGAAGAGATAGGATTAGATAGTCTAGATCTAAATATCTAGATCTAGATCTAGATCAAGTCAACTTTGAGATCGGTCCACGAGTGAGATTTTCAGACGACTCACTGTGTGTGTGAGTGAGTGTGTGTGAGTGTGTGTGTGTGTGTGTGTGTGTGTGAGTGTGTGTGTGTGGATCGTGGCTCGGGGGTTTGATCCCGGGCTCTCGGACACTTGATCATGGGAGGATTCCGCGAGTTTTGTGGCAACAGCTCTATCTTTGTGAGTAGCGCACCGCTTTGTCACTTTGTTGGTGGTCTTTGCTTTGATTTTTGCTTTTTTGTTTGTTTTAGTTTTAGTTTTTCCTCTCACGGCACTGTGCGAGATTTGCATGATTCAAGGTGCCTTCTTGTTTTCAGTTGTACCAGATAGCCCGATCTGTGGGTGCTTGGAGGGTGTCACTGGTAGATTCTAGGTCCTAGAATCTAGATCTAGGCCTACATATTTTCTGACAGGACTTTAAAAAAAAGGCTGCCATTATAATATAACGTTTTATCTTTTTCCCCACCACCCTGAGGGGGGTTAAAAATATTTTAATCCCCCCCCCCTCTCCCCGCCCTGGGTGGAAATACAATTTTCTCTGTGGGAATATATATATATTTTACTC